TTTTAAATCCAAAACGCTTGAGTTGAATACACTTTCATAAGGTAGTTCTGCCACATTTAACACCGGTTTCATCTTTTTCAAGCCTCCTAATTTGTGCCTCGTATAACTGGTAAATTTTACACGCTGTATTATATCTTGATCCTTTTCATCTACATTCGAGAAAATGTCAGCATAGCTTCTTTTTTTTCCTTCACAATTTTCCATACAGTTGATGTTGAAATTTTCGTCAATGTGTTTGTCAATGTTTCTTCTAAAGATGCTTGCTTGCTTGCTGGCACCACGTTCAACGAGAGTCAAATAAACATTGTTTATAACTTCCTTAGTCTCAATAGAATAGTGTTTTCTACATTTGAGCGGGGGCATCTCCTGAGATACACTAGACATATTTTGCATAATTCGCACACGATTCAACACACGCTTATTACACACGAAATAGGAATGATTACTAATAAACTTAAAGTAAGTAGTATACCAAACCAAAGAATACTAAACACAGGTAGGTATAAAATTATTTTCTATTACGGACCACAATTTTACCTGAATTTAAATTTCGAAACTTTAGGTAATAATCTTGTTGCATTGTATGTTAATGACCACTCTTGGATGATCCCATTCAAATGCAATTGGTCACTTTCTTATATCTATGAACAGACCATAACATGGAATTCTCATTCCCTGTTTCATTTCTATTCCCCGATTTCAAGAAAAAAATTTTAGGTAATAGAGAAAAGAGAGAAAGTCGTTTACGCGGCGAAACTATTTTATGTGCCGCGGAAACAATTTACACCCACAATTGTCTATTAAAACTAGGTGAATATTTAGTTATTGTAATTAGTTGGTGGTTGGGCGAAATATGCATAAATAGTAATCACTCTTAATGCTAATATAATTCCGTAGAATTAATATTCGGCCGCAATAAAAACATTATTACGACAAACTGCGTCGGTAAACAGCGACAAAATAAAAGACAACTCTAATAGTGCATGGCGCATTTTTCAAAATCACGTCCGTATCCTTTAAGTTTTAAGTCCTGTAATTTGTGTAATGTCCGGCGCAATGCCTTTCACTATCGTTGGGTGACAAAACTTACCGTTCGCCGCACACCAGCACTTTCAATAAACAAAAATCTTTAAACATTGCCACTAAGAATAACTACCCAAGCACAAAGGGCTCAATGAAAATTATGATGGTTTACTTGAGTTCGTTAGTTATGATGAGACATAAAGCACTGTGATCTTATAGAATCCCACCGTAAGTTACGTGTACCTGCTTCGCACCAACGCGTTTATTTTGGAATATGGAAGTACATGGTGACCCGTTTGTTATGGGATGGGTGATAGTTATTTTCAGAACGCGATAAAAATATTAAAAAAAAATCTGGAGAGAAAAGTTATTTGATTGATGTGATTATACATTGTTTAAATGACAAAATACGGGTTTTATTAAATTTTCGATGTTTTGTATTACTGTATTACCTAGATCATTCATTCATTCATTCATCATTCAAAAAAAGGAAAGGTCTCACAGAAGTAAAGCATGGAAAACAAAGTGACACAGTACAATTGGGTTTGTTTTGGGTACTGTTTTGAAATATGAAATATGAAATATGAAAGGCCCGAAGAACAAGTCTCTTCAGTTAAGCCTCCATATAAAAAATCGAGTGAAGGGTGGTCCGGCGAACGAGGGGGCCACGAAACTGCTTGGTAGCTGTCCATTTAGGGCATTGCGCGCAGGTGCGCGCCCTATTGTTGAAACCGACAGATTCTATTTTTTTCACCACCACCCACAAACCCAAAAATTTAGTCGTGGAATTGACCGGTCATTTTTTTTGTGTCAAATGGAGTCGATATTATTATTGGGATTCTCCGAATCGCCAAGTTTCGTATCCAGATATTCCGTGAAAAAGGTTTTAGGTAAATTCTACATCAAAAACGCATAATAATTTCATATAAAATACATATTATTAACAAATAATGATAGACAACGCTCTACAATTTCAAGATGTTATTTAAAACATTTTTTGAATAGTCAATTAAAAAGTGGTCAAATGATCGGTCAATTAAAAATTGCTCAATTGAGGGTCAATGGACCGGTCCCAACACTACCCAACATGATGTTGATGTCTAAATATTCTACGTATTCGAGGATTACCTCTTGCCCAATAATGAGCATTTCTCCATTTCTAAATATGCCATTATTTGTTACCATACTTTTCTCCGACCAAATAGGCTCATGGTTAGAGTTTTTATCTTTTTGAGACTTCCTAGTATATCACTAGCAAAGTGTATTTCGCCTTTCCTCATCACTTGAAATATTCTAAATTTGAACAGGTGATATTTTTGTTTTCTCAAAATAAAATAAGCAGTAGAATTCGCGATTCCGCTTGTACGTTTTACTTTTTTAACAGATGTTTCCGGATCTTCAGTTAAAGCTAACACTACATTATTTACTTTTTTTTCTTTGCAGAGTTCATTTATGGATAAAACTGGTTTCACAAACGCACGATACTGCTTAGGATTTGCTGTTAATTTTATAAAAAAAAATGTGTTCTGTTGTCTTCTCTCTGGGTAGTTATTTAAGTACATACACCCAGCTTCAACCGCGTTACTCTAGCATAAGATATAACATTGCAGCATATCGATCTTCCCTCAGATGACAAAGCACGTTCCATTCTGAATAGCAAAAAAAGAACCAACAGCAAAACGACAACAACAATTTTAGAAAACGGCTTGTACTAATATATCATTAATTTTATTTTTATATTTTCTCAACGCCATCGGCGCTCACTAGCATTGAAAATGTAATAAAAACTTTTTTGTTACTTAAACAATTTAGAACCGAAGTAAAAAATATTACTTAACACCTGGTATATTTTTTTCAGGGACCATATGTAAAAATAAAGTCGGTGATGATTTCGCCAAAACGAAAGGTGGTACTTAAAATCTCTGAAAGCTCTCTCGTAGAGCTCAACATTTTTTTTTTTTAATTTTAAGAAAGTTGTAGACTTCGAAATGTTAGCAATAAGATGTCTTTTTTTAATTTTTAAAATGCTAAGTCAACATGGTGAAAAAAGCAATCGAGCACTACAAAAACATCACTATTTTGGCTTGCTGTAAGTATGTGTTCTATTTAAAATCAGGAAGTGTATGTATTGTAAAAGTTTTTTTCATTTTTTTATTTTTCTAATAAACGGACCAGCTAACACCATTAGTAAGAAAAGGTGAAGTAGAACTAAAAGTGACTCCCTAAAATCGAAAATGTCTTATTGTCAAAAAAATTGATTAAATGATGGTACAATCTTAGAGATTTGGTTTTGCCGATGGATGCCACTCACCGTCTAGAATATATAATATTCAATATCAATTTTCTCCAGCGTTCTGTAAGTTAATGGCGAAAATGGCGAACCATTAATTTTCGCTGCACATGTTCTTTTGAAATTGAGGGACTGAGGAAGTATTTTTAAAAAATTAAAAACTGCGTTTGCAAGGGTCGAAGGAAAAAATCATTTCTCGAAGACCGTTTATTGAACCGAAAAAATTCTTCCACGGAAGATTTGACTCCATAAACTTTTATTCCAACAAAAATGTACAAGGGGCGCCGGAAATTAAAAAGAAAAACATGGGTCCCCCTATTATTGAAAATTGGCGATAACTTAAGGACTGTGTTTTAGACATCAGTATCTTATACATGACAATCAAGTTCGTATACACAGCTAAAACTTTTGTATTTAAGGTTCTCACCTATTGTACAGGGTGTTCGCGATATTCCGTGCAATATTGAAAAATGTATTAGGTGCCCTAAATTTGCAGTTACTGACTTCAGATTTGGCAGAGAGGTAGAAATCCACACTTACATTTAAACAGATATAACTGGACGCCATCAAATATCGAGAACAATTTTTTTTTAAATATTTGAAAAAAATTTTTGAGAGGTTTTGGCTTCCAGAAAAAAATTGTTTTCTCTAAAAATATTTACCCGACCGGCAAAATTCTTGAACCAAAAAACGAGGAAGATCCAGCACTATAACTTTTATTTTTGGCATTTTTTCGAATATATAGGTTTTTCAATTATGGGCAAAAATCTAAAAGACTTTCAAAATTGTTGCTTTTGCCATTACATTATTAGCCGTAAATCAAAATTCGTGAAAAATATAAAAAAAAAATTTTTGTATTTACGGTTTTCGTCTGTCGCACACGCTTCTTGATATATTTGAAAAAGTCCATGTGACAGTCGCTGAGCGTACTGCATGATTTCAGATAACATGTATTTTCTCGAAACCTATTTACTCTATCGGAAAAAATCATATACCAAGAAACGTGGGAGGGAGATCCGCTATAACTTTTACTAGCAAACAAATTTTGTTTCTAACTGATAAAAAATATTTTTGCTTTTAAGAATCATTTTGTGCATATCCTGCTTCAACTCAAGAACACAATTAGATGGCAATGGTGATATTACACGAAAAATATAAAGCAAATTAAATAAATGACAGTACAAAACAGATTTCGCAAAGTATAAAATAACCTATTCAGGTGGACTTATTATAGAAGCCAACTGCATTTGATAAGCTTACGAGAACGCATCTATCGTACGGTCGTGCCAGGCGATGAGTAAATGATATCGGCAAAATTAACAATATTTCATATCTAATTGAAATAAGTAAGACAGAAGATTGCTGTTGCAAAACCTTTAAACCTTTAAATTGTTATAGTTATAATATATAAAGCAGTACTCATTTTGACTTGTTACAAAGAAAATCTCAGATAATTTATACTTTGGATACCATATATTTTTGCAATAATCTGTTATTCTACTAAGTACTAAGTACTAAGTATACTAAGTATACTAAGGCACAAGAAACATAACCAATATACAGCGTTCTCGACAATTTTTTTAATGAATTTTGCATTAATAGAAATATTATTTTAATTTCTTTTTATATAGGAATTATGGTGATAAAATAAAACAATAGACGGAATTTGTTATTTATATATATTTATACATTTAGAAATAATCTTTTTCCTTCAATAATTACAATAATTTTTTTCTTATAGTTTTTAAGACAGCGCCTTCACAAATCTACTTTACAATAAGGTACATTATTGACTGTCTTACATTCACCCGAAATACTGCATCGCTCGCATCACACATAATCCATTAATTAACTAATAATAATAACTATATATTACAGCAATCGCTAGAAAAAAAAACAATTTACAAAACTCAACGACCTTGGGGCGACGAGTCCATTTTTTACGAATTCATTATTCCATTACCGTCGAATCTACCTGTACACGAGCATTTTACACATAAAAGTTAACAAATACGTACCAACAATCAATAAATTACGATATACTTGACGACGGTGATGTGTTAAACTGTATAGAAAACGGGACGACTTGGAATTTTTGGCAATGCCGTAGATACTTATTATTAAAAAGAAAAAAAATACATATATCATGCTGCTTTATTTTGTTTTATTATTATATGCCCGAATATGGCAACTAAACTAAGACTCTCTGGAAAATAAAACAATTTGCAGGCTAACTGAAACAGTCATTTAAAGACAATACAATACCTGATACGTAATACAATTTGCATATGTATTGAATTTCTTAGTGTTCATTGTTTACGAATCACCAGAAACGCAGACGAACTGAAGGGAAAAAAAATTAATAATACAACAAATATTTTCTTGAAAATGTTTTTAAATTAAATGAAATTTTCGTACTTACATCATCTAACTTATATAATGTGATGTAATTCGATTTTGAAGTGACAGAATGTAGAGAGTAGTATTACGATGACACCATTGAGTAAAGTTAAATTTGGAGGAAAAGTATCCAAATAGGCAGATTATAAATGCATCCTTTCTAGTCTGCACAGGCCATTGCAGTTGAGTTGACAATTCGGTAAGCAACTGAACTAGGTACTCGAAAGCTTATAGAAGCACTTACCTGTACAGACTTAATCGGCATAAGCCCAAAGGTTTCAGTAGTTCTTTCCAAAGGAACTCTACAAATAAGTCTTGAACACCCACTGACTTATTTTATTGAGTCTCGATTTATTGAGAATTTACCTTGATTTTTCGTGAACATTTCGATTTAACTCGATGCCAAAACTTGTGCCTTTGGATATTCTGGCCAGAGACAATGGGAAAATCATCAAACGACTACTAACGTCAGTCTGGCTTGATTAATGTTGCATTGTTACAATGCTTGTTGTAGATATTAAGACTACTTCTGGTTATATAATTCAGTGTTAATTAAGAATGTAATTTAACTTTAAGAGATCATTCCATGAATAAGTTTAGAGGCAGTAATATTGGTATTTAGATGAAAATTAGGATTTGAGGATTTTTGATGAGAAATTCGAACTGGAATGATTCTTCAAGCCTCTTGGTCTTGTCAAAAGTCGATTTTTTCCTTTTCCTTATTAGGATCATGTGAGTACTACTAATTAACCAAACCAACCCAAACTACATACATTTCCGATCCATACATAAATATTAACTCAAATATTATTTAGAAAAAGCAAAATTATCGTCTCGTATTTCAAAAAATAAAGTATAGCGGAACCCATAACAGTATGAACTTTATTGTCTATAAAAAATTAACCAAGAAGTCAGTCCTCAGAGTTAGACGACATAGTTAATTATCATCTTGTGCAATTTCATAGATTTTTGACAATGAAGTATCAAACACCGATTTCGGACAGCCGACACCAGGTATTACTCATTAAAGCTATATTTAAAGTGATTTGCTTCGCATAGAATTAACTCGAAAATGACTTGAACGCATAAAACTAAGATTATGAATACAAAAATGCTCTGTTGACTATTCAAAAATTCTCGGAATGGAGGATGCACTTTTGTAATAGCCGGATAATTTCCGACGCAGAAAATCGACCTTGAAGGTCGTGCCGAAGGTCGAAACATCGTGAATTTATTAATGGGAAGAATTGTTCCGGTAAAATTAAAATATTTTTTACCAATACACTAGGTCTACGGGGCTCGGAGATTTTATTGTATAGGACGCGTTTCCCTTTATCGTGATTATAGAAGGGCTTGTGTAGAAGCTGGTGGCGATAAACTTAAAAAATCGCATCTTCTACTACTAGATTACTATATTTTTCTTCCAGACTCTTAAAAAACAAAAATTCTTGAATTATTTAAGTGCTGCCAAAACAATCCCAACAAAAAAACGTTTCATTGATATTTGAAATTGAAATTAGAAAAACATTTTTCTGCATTATTTTCAGTTTTCCGATCCGCAGTGCATCCGACCGGTTGCGCTATTACGCCGATGTGTGTTAAAAAATACGAAAAAACAACTCAATATCCGATGGTGAGCGTGGAAAACCCAACCCGCCATTTTTTTCTGCCGAACGTGGACTTTGGGGGAATTCCTTTCCATCCTAAACCCGTCGGTGGCATCAATTACGATCTAACCTTTCCTGAAGATATATTGCAAGCCCAGACTGGAGTCAGAAAATTTTTTTATGAAATTATGATTATCTCAGTTTTACTGTTTTATTCGGGTTTTGTGTTTTTACTGTAACAGTATTAATAAAATGCAATGGTTTGAAAATTTCAGACGACATTCGTTCGGCATAATCTTTTAAAATGGAAATAATATACTCTTCATAAAATAAAAATGAAACTACGCGATCGTAATTGAATGTCACTTGATTGAGATGGGGAGGTTTAAACGGAAAAAAGAATTTTCATAGACATTTGCGTGTCGCCATGCTCAGATTTGGAGAAGTCTTCAAAAAATTGTCGATACTAATGCCATGATGGCGTAACGAGTGTGCAGTTCGCTTGTTTCTAAGTAACGAAAATTGCGACTCTAATAATCACTGATTGTGGTAAAATCGAAGCGTTTCATTATAATCAAAATATTCACATAATTACCAGTCAGGTTTGAAGATAATTCAGACTTTTCACAATTTTGTTTTTAATTTTTTTCAATTTATTTGTCCAGATTATCAGGTTTTCGGGAGTGCTATGCCTAGAATATTGTCCTACATTTCATATCTTGTATTTTGGGACTTCTGATTTACAGATTTTGAATATGAATTATTTTGAAGCTTAAAATTTTTTAATTTTCATCAAACTGTGTGTGGGAATAACGTGCTAAATTAGACAGTTGTAATTATTTGCTTTTAATTCTAAAGATTTTCAACTACCAACGCCTTATGTAAAGTTCCAAACAGCCGCCAACAGCTTCTAAACAAGCACTCTTTTTTTCTTAGTAAAGGAAAAATGCGTCTGTATTAAAAAATGCACCTGTTAAAAACGCAAATATTTTATAACTATTAGTTATTATTATTCGTCGCAATCTCAGCTACTGAAAGGCATTAGTAAACAGCGAACTGCGCGCGTGCGTTCCAGCACGATGGAAGTAGAAACGTCAATTTTTTAAAAAATAAAACAAAAAATGAGTTTTGCGAAACAAATACATCTAAATAGCCAAAGAACCAGCGAAGGCAAGACGACAGAAACGTTGTAATACGATAACGACGAATGGTACGGGGCGTTCTCCAGTACCCATCAACGGTTCGATCGTTCTGTCGCATTTTTTCAACACTAATCGGCTTCGAACAAGTTCACCAGATGCAACGTCGAATATTGAATATTAAAATCATTGTCTTTCTTCATTCCATTTTTTTGTGAACAGTCTCGATGTACCAAAGCTGAACCTAAATTCAAATTTTCGGAAAATTTCTATGCAAGTATTTAACTTTTCTCACAGTCTTTTTATTAAAAACGGCCTACGACTTATTTTTTATCTACTATGCAATTCACCAAGACTTTTTCCCAATTAAATAATTGTTTCAGCAGTCCTTATTAATTTTTGCAGCCTCTATACCTCATCATTTAAGCGGCGTTTTGGATTAAGATTTAGTTTTACTGTTAGGCTGAAATATCCATTTCATCAATATCCAAAATATAAATAATGATTTTGTTGATTTCGAAAATGGTGTAAAAATAATTTTAGTCCAAAATTGTGGAGAGACTTTGTGAGTCAACTTTCGGCTTTTCTCCGAAACTGGTATTTGATTTACCATTAAAGATACTATGAAGGCAGCTTTATTTTTATATTGTTGCTTAAATATTAATCACGTGGATCTCCAACCACATTATTATACAAAGTGGCGCAGAGGAAATGGATATTTTTCAACAACCAAATATTTTCCTATTCCTTTAATTTTTGTTTTCATTACGTCTAAATGAAGCAACAATTGTGTACTTTTCAATGCCGGACTTCAATGTTAGTCAAGTGTCGCTGTTTTCTGGGGTATGAAATTACTAACCTCTCTTGGTGGCGAAAGCTTAAATGGAATGTGTTTCTCGACCTGTTTCAACTTTTCGGCGATGGTTGTTGCTGGTCCCCATGCTCCCCAGACTTATCTTAAGTGTACGTTAATAAACGCCAAAAAGTGCTGTATTTCCTATTTCTGCTGGGCGTTCCTCTATTGTTAATAAAACTAACCTGTTGCTGCTTTCGTGACTCATGGCTACTTTTTCATAAAAGGGTTGACCCAAACAGAAATGTCACAGTCTTGAATTTTATAACATTTTGATTGAGAATTTTGATGTTGTTTATATCTATTTCACATTTGTATATAGGCTAACTTGTGTTTTTATATGAGAACGGTCATGAATGACTTTAATAATATATATAATTTCATTTGAATTGCTATTACCTTTTCAAAAAATACACTTAAAGGCTATCTTAAGTATAAAGCATATATTCTAATTCTAATTCTTTAATTAATTAATGTTTCTCATGAATATAAAATACAGATGTTTTATATAAGTTTCATAACTTATTATAAAAACTTAGTTACCAGTCAAAATAAGTTTAGATAGTGTAGTTACGAAATTTCATGAGTATATATATTTTAGGGAAATGGACACCTTTTTTGAATTGCCAAATCATAAAAATAATTAAAATTAAAAATATGTGCTTTCTATTTGAAATGCCTCGTGTTACATATTATAGAAAAGTTCATAACAAGACTAATAATATTATGTAAAGATGCTGTTACATTGAAAAAAAAAAATTACTTGATATATCAAAATTTGTGAGTTTCAGAGGAGAACTGATTACGTCACTGAACCAACCATACTTTCAGTTATCGCATAACCGAACTACGAAGGGTGTCTAAAGAACATTTTCAAAAAAACTCTGCAAAGGAGCCTTGGTTCACGAAAGTCGCAACACGCTACATTTATTAATAATTTATAGACGCTATAAAACCATTCAAAATTGTTATATTATTATTGCTTTATTTAGCTATATTTCAAACAAAATTTATTCAAAAATAAAAAAATATTTCACAACTGAAACTAATTTTAACATTTTTAAAGTAAGAAAATTTTGCAATGAAAATTCAGAAAAAATGAAGTTGCATATGGTCATTACAGAGTAACGAATGCTGCGCAAACTCTTAAATTCAATTTATCAATTTACGGACACTCCAAAATCCAAAACATGTGAAATTGAGAACAGCGATCAAGGTAAAGCGAAAAATAAAATATCGAACTACGAGAATTTAGAATAAGGGAAAATTAGTAATAAAAATGTAGAAAAACTAAAATGTGCGGTCATAAAAAGACGACTAAAAAACGCAAACTTTTAAATTCAATTTGTCAACTTAAGGACACTCATTAAGTCTAAAGGTAAAGCGAAAAACAAAAAATCACGCAATACGCAAAATTTTAACATAGACTTGAAATTAGGTCGTACTATTGGCGATATATCTATCCAACTAGTTCAATTTAACTTTTCGGCAAAAATACAGGCAACGCCAAATTCCAGATCGTCATTTATCCTGACAGTAGGTTACCGCGCATATATTTATAGACAAATAACTCAACTCAACTCGGTAGTAGTTGAAACGAAATTTTTGAAAAAAAAAACTAAAATTTGAGTTTTCGCCACGGAATGTACAAATCGAAATGTTTTACAAGTTACTCACACCGCTAACCGTTACTATATTGCACCAGATTCATTACGATTAGAAGAGAACCGCTCAGAACACTTCTTCGGTGGACGCAGTTTCGACCTTTCCGGCCCTCATCGGCGGGACCACCGAAAACGCGTTCGCGACTTTTCGCACCGTCTGAGATCTAACCGAAATTGTACAAAGGAATGGAATCTTTCAACACATAAAAAAAAACAAACAAACCTATTTAAAAATAACAACAATAAAAATAACATATCGTCCACCGAATCACTGGTCGCAGTTTTTCTTTCTTTGTCAATAGAGTTTCGCTTTTCAATTTCTAATAATTAGTAACTAATCACGTTTGGGGATGAGGGTAGGTTCGCCTCTAAATGGGTCCGTATATTAAACTGCCGGCCACACCCTGAAACAAAAGAAAAACGCAGGTTAGTTTAGCGAATTTGCTATTGCGTATTAAGTTTTTGGTTTTGCTAATGACGCGATTTAATAGGAGCGAAGCAAATTAATTAATAATTGCATGTAATTATCAAAAAACGAAGTTAAAAAAGGTCGCGTTATCAGTAAACAGCGAAATTGACCAAAAATGAGCGAGTGAAGTAATAAAAATGGCACAATTATTTTTTTGAGAAGTAATTTATCCCACTATCGTAATTCGTACATATACGGGGTGGATTTTTTAAGCACATTATTTTTATTATCTTACTTAATTTTCTAATCAGCGCGTGCAGCCATTATACTACATCTACATCTACACACACACACACACACACACACACACACACACACACACACACACACACACACACACACACACACACACACACACACACACACACACACACACACACACACACACACACACACACACACACACACACACACACACACACACACACACACACACACACACACACACACACACACACACACACACACACACACACACACACACACACACACACACACACACACACACACACACACACACACACACACACACACACACACACACACACACACACACACACACACACACACACACACACACACACACACACACACACACACACACACACACACACACACACACACACACACACACACACACACACACACACACACACACACACACACACACACACACACACACACACACACACACACACACACACACACACACACACACACACACACACACACACACACACACACACACACACACACACACACACACACACACACACACACACACACACACACACACACACACACACACACACACACACACACACACACACACACACACACACACACACACACACACACACACACACACACACACACACACACACACACACACACACACACACACACACACACACACACACACACACACACACACACACACACACACACACACACACACACACACACACACACACACACACACACACACACACACACACACACACACACACACACACATATATATATATATATATATATATATATATATATATATATATATATATATATATATATACATTCTGCTCTTGTGTGTGTGACGAGAATTTAGCTTTAAATAAATTTGAAATTGGACACACACATAGACACATATCATACAGCAAATAGCGTATAACACAATCATTTTAGTTTTTAATCAAACAGTTACATCCAATACATCACAAAACTGCAAAAGGAAGGAAATAATTTCACTTAAATTCGTTTTGCTCATAAATAATTTACCTACAAAATTGGCCTTATTTGAAAATTCCAAGCAATTTCATTTCGAGTGCAAAACAATTTCATAATAGCTTGAAAAATGATTCAAATGAATAAAAGAGAGAAAAGAGTTCATTTGTAATAAAAATACTGCTAAAAAATACAGAAAACTAAACATACTATCCAGGTAAAAATTTGATTATTAATACATTATACTGGCGCAGTTAAAATTATCGACTATTCTGGTAGACAATAATTACGAACCCTTTTAAATCCTATCTCTAAATGCGAATTTAAAAATTGAATTTAATGGACGTATTTGTCTCGGGTAGTTATGAAATTATCAAAAAAATCTGGAAAAAGTCTTTGAATTCTAATAGGCAGTAAATTTGTATAACAAATTCTCCATTAGCTCATGACAATACGGTAGTGACACCGGCGTCCAAAATCTTTGAAGTTAGTAGCTTAAATATAAGCCACAAAAACACTCACCCCTTAAAAGGTAAGAAGCTCGGTGATCTGCGTGAAAACTATATCTAGAAATTTCAGATTTTGAAAATTGTTCTAGCAGCATTTGTGGCGTAATATACCATTTGGAATCGTTCAAATTTTGAATAAAATAAAACTAGCTGTTCATCGTTCATTTTTTAACGTTATAATTTATTGCCAATTGGAAGAAAAGTGGAATACAAAAGCGAACGTGGCAAACTCAAAGTTGAAAAGAAACGTTAATTTTTTTGCTCATTGTTGACAGAACATAATGTGATCAGAGTGGTTGATGAAGAAACCTTCGAAGAAGTGACTGATAAGTGGATGACGGCTCAGTGTACACCCAACAATATTATTGTGGAGTGTTTGGAAGACACTTATCTCATTTTTGAAAAAATAGAAAATACTGAATGAAGCCTTTATAAGCACAAAGCCATACAACACTGGCACCACTTACATGTAGATATATTATTAAAGCATCTAATAGTTATTTTCGGCCGATGCAAAATTACTACAATCGCAACAGAGATCAGAAATAGCGAACAAACTAGAACTGTACAAACGACTCAATTGGTGGTTAACATTGATGGGTGACCCTTTTATGCCTCAAGATCTTTTACTCTGGATTTATTCCTTCTGAAGCCACATGCGCTGGAACCCCGATAATGGAATAACTTTCAGCTCAACCGAAAAGAAAAGTCACAAGGGCATAAGCCACGCGAATAAGAAAGGTAAGATGCCCCAAGATTGCTTCTTTTCGTTTCTCGTTTTTGAAACACCCATCCATTCCTTGATGTTTCGTCCCACAATAATGGTCCTTTCTCGATTTTTTCAAAGAAACTCCCCGTAAATGTTGATTGAATATTTGGTTAGTTGGTGGACGATTCGGTGGCTATCGAAAAAACAAATCAGCATGATTCGACTTCCTCATAATTGCTTCTTTCTGCCTTGGCCAGGTACGCCACTGCATGGGTCGTAATCAAACATCCAATACAAGTTCCAGAGAAAAAAAAAATCCAGGCAATTTTCTTCACTGACTTCCTTTTGCTATTGCGAAAAGTTTTTTGAAAAGTCAATATACCAAGATCAAACCCGTACTGCGGATAGATCATATATTTCCCTTTCATCCTAAGTTGTCAGTCCCACTTATTAATTTACAGACCGAACAACAATGGTTATAGGGGAAGATTCTTGGGGATATATATGGTCCAGAGGTTCCTTACAATTCCTAAGAAAAATGCTGCTTTTACCACTTTAATGACTGCTAAATTTACTTTGTTGTTTGGTTTCATTTGGGTGCGAAAAGTTTCTGCGAATCGAAAAAAGATATCTCAAATAGAGCATCCATACACTCCAGGCGAAAGGTCGTCGACCCGTCGGTACGTAACGTTGGTGGTCGTGTACCCTTTAACGAGCAGGGGCGTCCCGGTACCCTCCGAGGAACCGCTAGAACGTCTGAAAAGCAATAATTACCGTCACCGTCGACGTACGTGGAGGTACGCTGGACGACGACGTCACGACTCGGTTACGTTCGACTTTGCATAATTACGGCGTTATTTAATTAAAAACGCGTTCGTCAATCTCGTTTTTGAGGTTAATCAAGGGAGAGAGAGTTTAGCGGTTGTAACGAAGACTAATTAAAACGGGTAATCGCTGGAAGACGAGTGGTACTGTTAACCGATGGCACCGAGGCGGCGTGTGAACGTTGTTATATACGACCACGGATGACGGGGAGTTTAGGACGGTTAGGGGGGTTTAAAAAACTCAAACGTGTTCCACCTGGCTATAAAAATTCAAAACCAACTATAATTAAACGAAAGAAAAGAAAGTTCTTCTAGGCCTCATTCCGATTATTAGCTTTGGTTACTTTTTGGTCTCTTAGTCTTACATTATCTACCATCGCATGTCCATAAGGCACATGCATTCCTTTTTAGTGCTCTTTCCAATATCACCCAGTCGAAAACTATTTCTTTTCAATACTGCCCAACTAACATTGTTTCTTTTATAACGGTAACTGTCAGGTTTCAGTTATGTATTTTATAAAACCTGAGAAGATATCACTAAAATGTAAAAAATGCTCTTGCATGCGCTTCAATGTAGTATCTTATAAAGATAAGGGTGACCAAATTTTTTATTTAAGAGCTTGTTTTCTTTAAAAAACAGCAATAAGTTCTTGTAGCAAGTAAAAGATTTTCGTTACTGCTCTGCCCACAGTGTCTACACTACAACAAACAAAAAATTAGTTTTCTATATGATTTGTTTTCAATATAATTTATGACGTGTAGTTGATATTGTATTTCATTTATGTATTTATTGTTTTAATGAGTACTACAACTCAAAATTTTCTTACGACGACCTAATTTTAGTTTTTCACAAACCAATTTTCGAATAATTTTATATTCTATTCTTCCTCTAAAAAAGAAGCGCCCTCGTTTTAAGAACTTTGAAACACAATTTTGGTAAAAACCTGAAAGTGGAAATTATTTCCCATGATCTTTTTTGCAATTAAAATGAAGATAACTTTTTAACCGTATATTTTTTGTAGAGGTGTATTCGTGTCAATTTGAAAAAATGTTCACCACAATCGCTTTTCAAAAACTTAGCTTTCAAGTAATATTGGAAACTTTTGGAATACTTATAATTTAATAAGTTACCAAAAAGGTATTTAGAAAAACCTTCGTTGCCGCTATAAAAAATCATAACCTCACTTTTAAGTTGTTTATTTATTTTTTCTTTAAAAAAGTGTGCTTAGTTTTTTATAAATATCTAGATAAAGTTTAGAATTGAACTAAACATATCTTTTAAAATTGTTCAAACGAAAGAAGTTCGCAAAACAGCACCGTCCTGGACGGTCGTTCCAAGAGCATGAGTGTCCATGTTTCGCTGTAGAATATTTATTAGGTTTTTATTTTTATTGGGTGCTTTAAGGTTTATATAATATTATAATTTAACAAGTTTTTAAAGAAACCTGACTAAGCAAAAACAAGGGCTTTATATACAAAGGAAAGGAAACGTTTTGGTTGCAATATTATAAAACTTACGGTTTTTGTATTTTTGGACGTCTAATAAATCTTTTAAGAAAGAGGGTTTCCTTATAAAACCATAAAAACTGCTATAAGACCTCAACTTTCTTATAAATATCGGTTAACTTTATAATAAAAATTTAAACTGCGAAAAATGTTAGTTGGGTGG